ACCAGCGTGTTGCAAGATTGTCGGTGGTCCAACAAAAAGGGCACGGGTAGCCTCTTGAGTGAAAATGGTCGATAACGAGGTTATCGATGCAGATCGGGATCGTAGAGTTTCACGAGACCGGCATTTGGTGAGAGCAAAGCTGTCTGAAGATCTCCTTTTCCTTGGCTGTAATGGAGGAACAATCAAGCTTTCTTGTGAAAATTCGGGTCTCACGCGGTTCTTGACGGCGACAACAGAGGAAGAAGCTGAGTGACCACCATATGTTACGACGTTGACGTTGCTATCCTCGGTCTGTGGACGAGTGCTGACATGCAAAGAAGCCTCAGCTGAGGAGGGATCTCCGATTAGCTCAATATTGGAGTGAATCGATGAAGGTGGCAGACTATTTAGGTCTGCTACATTCATGGGAGAGCTGAATCCATATGTTTTGACGTTGGTTCTCTCAGAGAATGTTGATCTGGTTTGTTCGGATAGTGAAGACTGAAAGGATGTCTTTTGAGTGAGCCATTGAGAAGAAGGACCAGCCTCATGATCAGGCAGATCAACCTCTGGCAGCGTGGGCAGAGGCAACTCGGGTGGAGCGTCTTGAGTCTGCGGCTGTTTTTGCTTCACGTCAGGTGTTTTAGGTACTTTACGGAGACCCCCAAACAAACGATAGTTCCACGGCGATGAGTTTGAGTTGTCCGGGGTGGACGGATCTCGAGGCCGAGGCGAAATAACTGGAGAACTGGCGTTTCGTTCTGTGAGAGGAGTCATAGGCGAGGCTGGACGGCTCTGACGCTCATCACTGTATGTACCCATTGATCCTCGACCATATGATGTGTTACCGGTGGTGAAAGATGGGGGGAGAGACCAGAGAGATTCGACCCTTGACGACATAGAAGCATCTTGAGGAAGTATGGAGAAGGTCTTATCGGAGTGAACATTAATGACCCTTTTGCGAGAAGGAGGTCTTGGTGAGGTTGAGGGTTCCCGGGAAGGTGGGCGTGAAGCATAAGAAGTATGATCATCAGCATCGGTATCATAATGGGGGAACCAGGGTGCAGGGTTCTGGTCGAATTCGGAGGATGGATATCGAGTAGGGCGCTTTAATGGCGATGGAGAAAGCACTGTACTTCGAGTCCGGGCCCTCTGCAGGGATGGTGATGGCGTTTCAAACTGCGAATCGGAGGAATGTGTCGGAGAGCCATATGTCTGAGCAAGCTCTGAATCGGTCTCGGTACTCGCATCAGCATAAGTAACAGTCTTTGATGTGACGGTACCATCTGAGGCAACCCGTGGAGGGCTGTAAGGGACGACCCGGATTCCGAGGCGGTTATTCTGAGAGTTGTTCTCAGAGTTACTACGCTCATGTAATGCCCTACGCGGCAGAGAGCTCGACGGTGAGACCGACATGCTCTATGCACGAGGCGATAATAGCTGTGATTTCCAGGACATCAGGAGACCAAAAATAACTTCCAAAAAAACGCTTGCCCTCGAAATTGGCAATGCGATTCACTTCAAGATCGAGATCTCGAATAATATCAGGCTGTCGAAGTCGAGCTCGGTCGGGGCCGGAGGTGGGTCAATCAACTCGGAGGTCGTCACAAGGGCCACGGACGGGGGACTCGGACAATGGCAAAGATATTAAAAACCACCAAAACAAAAGCGACGATATTATTGAAGCGTCCAGTGTTCCAAGGAATAGGATCAAGCAGAGACCAAGCAATTCTATGCGAAACGAGCCGGGGTAGATCGAATTGTCGCGAGGTGGATCGTTGGTGTTTCGGCCGTGAGAGGAAAAAAAGACTCGATCGATTTAACAATTGAAGAATTAATTACCAAAATTGGAAAGAACCAAAAAGAAGAAGAGCAAGAACAATTAACGACTAATGAGTCTAGGTAAAGAGTGTGTTGAATATCAAAAGCTTGAATGAGTGACTGGCCAGTGGCCGATTATAGCGAGTGTATGTAGTTTGGTTGGAAAAGCACGAAACGAGAGGCGGAAAGAGAAAGACAAGATCATGGGGAAGGGACGGCGGGTAAGTTAGCTAAAAGGGAAGCAACGGTCCCTCCACATGCGACCAACGGCGGCAGGAGTAGCGGCCTATGTGCCTGCTAAACTTGACCTGGAGGCTGGACCTTGGAAGGTGGACAAGCTGGACTGTGGGTATTCCCAGCTTCTGTTTTTGCTGGTCTTACAGTAGTAACAGTACTACCTTGTCCAAGGCACAGCCTAACAACCTAACTCTTGCGGTAATAATGACTAAAGAATCCAGGACCAGACGAACGACGAGGGTATGGAACGACCCGAGCACACAGACCTCACAACCTCTCACCCTTACAGAGACTCTTGACACAAGCAATTGGCATTGGACCATTGACGTGTACTGGGCAAAAACACATTAGCCAGTGATTGCAAGCGCCATTCTGCAACTAGCGGCCTTGGGATATTACCTTCGCTGCAGCAGGGTTGCCCCTGCAGACGGGGCGCGGCGACGATGGGACCGTTGGAGGACAGGGGTTTTTGGACGAACTAGGAGACCTGAGGGAGATAGGGGCGCTCTGACGCTGAGGACTGAAAAAAGAGAACAGGGCATGGAAAGACACCGCAACTTTGACGAAGCCAGGTTGAGTGAGTACAAAGACTTTTCACAACTTGAGCATAATTCAAGCAAGAGAGGAGAGGGCGAATCATCTCGGTGAGAAGACAGGAATAATCTCAAGACTTATCTTCTAGACTTATTCTGAGCTCTGATTTGTCCCCCTCAACACACCTTCAACTTTTAGGAACTGCACTTGGGGTTGTGCCGTTGTGGATCGGATCTGTGAACTGGAACTGGTTGGACTGCACTATCGACGCTATTGTGGGGAGCCTCTTCCTGTGTGTCGTCCAATTGGCAATAGCTCCGGCTATGTTGTATCGTAAGATACCAATGGCATCTGTCTTGCTGCAGGGCAAGACTTGGATACCTTGAGCATGCCTTTGGGGAGCAAGAAAACTTTGTACCTCGAAACAGGATGCCAAAATTAACTCATCAAGGAGCCTCCTGAGCTTATAATGAATCTACCCCAGTCTTTCTGTCGCTTAGGGTCAAGGTCTTAAGTTTTCTCTCCTCCACTACGGAAGAGACATGGCCTGGAGAAATTACTGGACCACCTCTGCCAGGTGGCAGGTCATCAGTGGTGTTGATCCTGGATATGGTGAAGCACGTACAGATGTCTGTATGAGACGACTGCAGAATCAATGGACAGGTTCAGCTATCATCAACCATTCAATCGGATGAAATTCTGGAAGAATTAAGCATTCAACCTGAAAACTGCAGTAACTCAAGTACAGTTGTCCTTGAAGGTCACTATTTCGGTCGCCTATGATGTTTTCTTCCAGGCGCTTGTTTTACCTGAAGTGTTCCAGTTGCTCTGAGCTGGCAATATACATCTCTCGACTAACAACTTCAGTGCATATTGGTGTACCTCTGGATCAGAGTTCTGTCTTTGCGCCAGTTCTAGTTTACCTGCAGAGAAACAGCGCTTCTCGAAACCAAGACCTGCAGAAAGGTCAAAACATGCGAATTCTCTCCACTTGGTCGCTTCGAGGTCTGCAGAACTCTCTGACTCTGCGTTTGGGGCAGCGAAAGCCATTCCTCAGAGACAGTCGGCGATGTAACCAGACATCTTTTTAAGCTTCGGAGCCGTTGGCGCGCGCAATCTCACATGTTCCTTTTCAAAGTGTCAAATTCGCGTTGTCTGCTTATTGAATCGCGTGTACGGAGTAAGTATGTTATCTTTAGCATTCGGCTTACATGGGCTTTTTGAGCCGCTTCGATCTGTTCCGGGACAAGGGGTTGAGGCTACTGGCTCCTGAAGTTTCGGAGGGTGACATGAGGTTGCTTTCCCGAACAATTGCAGTCAACTTTCAAGATACTCATCATTTTCACCTTCTCTTATCGTCCAAGGAGAACGAAAGTTTGAGACTGCCAACATTACCGTGGTCTCATCATGACCCCTTCTGCGATAGCGACTGCAGATCCATCCCTTTTTCCATGTTGCCTCTGCAATGTCACCGGCTCACTCGTAGTCGGTACGGGTAGATGTTAGCTCTGATCATCGCGTCTTCCAGACGATCATCCGTTCTTGGGGATCCAACCAGAGCCATCACCGCCTCTCCTCTCTTCTTCGCACCAAAGTCCCGCTGGTCCTAACTAATGCAGGTACCGTTACTCATTAGGGGTCCTCTTGATTCGTGACCTTGCCCTGCAAGCAAAAGGAGTGTCTAGAGCGTGGCTGAGCATGGGAAAATTCAAGTTGAACTAGCCAAGATATTCAAGACTTTGATGCATTCTAGTCATGCACGAGTGTCGATGAATATTTTGCATTTTCACAATAACAAATAACATTGCTCTAGCATTTTAGTTCAGCCATTTTAGCTGGCTTTGGCCCTGCATTCGTGTCTCATTCTCAGGTTATGAGATGTTTTATACCATCTCCACATCATTTCGCTTGTTTCAATAATTCTTGTGCCGTGCAGCTCACCGTATACAATAGTGCATACGACCCATGAAGCGATATGCGGAGTAAAATGAAGACGAGCAAGACCTTGTGGAGGAGAAGTGTCCAGCACAACTTTTCTGTTTTAGTGTTTTTCAGTGCCCAACCGGTAAGAGAAATAGTTATTCTTGGATTACTGAGTCAGCAAAACTGAAGACACGACCAACAAGGACAATGGTTTTGAACAATAGGAGTTACCCAGTTTGTGGCTGGTGAGGGCTTCATTTTTTCGGGTTTTATTTCCTGAAGCAGTCTTATTTAGTTAACTCCTTGAATGACTTCTTTCTTTCTCTGACAAGAGCCACCGTCATGCTGACTTGACTTTGTTTGCCCCATGGAACATTCCCGCAAGTGTCTTTTTAGCTCAACCTCTTTGAGCCTCATTTTCTTCTTCACTTCTTCACCTTGCGACTAAGACAATTCGCATTCTCATCTTTTTTTAAACTCGAATCTTCAATTTTGACAACGTTGCAATGTCTATCTTGAGCTCTGCGGGGTTCGCACCGCCTCAAGCCGTAGCCTTACTGGTGAGCCTCACATCACAACCTCCATATAACTCATACTCAGCCTCGTCTCATGATTCATTGAAATGTGCTAACATATATCCAAAGGTCGTCTATTGCCTCGTCTACGTCATTCCTCTCTACTTCTCAGTTGCAACACGACCTTCACCAACTCGCTCCAGAGATGCACCTGAGGCTATCCGCGCACGTATCTTTGTCGTCTCACTCTCAACGGCAGTATGCTCCCTCGTGACGCTGTATCTGCTCTCATCTCACGGTGCAATTGCCGTTGAGAAGCCCTTGCATTTCATGGGCTACTGGCCGCCAGGACTCAACGATGCTGCTCGTGCGCTATGGCTCACGGCCCTGCTGTTTGCGGGCCCCTTGTATGAGTCTCTCGTCATTGATGGCGCGGCTCATCAATGGCTTCGTCTTCAGCCTCTGAGGGATCTGTGGACTGACTGGCCAACTTGGAGAAACATGGTAGCGGTACGTTTATCCTGAAACTGTTTGATCTCGCTGTAGATTCCTTCATATTCCCCCTGTCAATTTCTTATCCCCACAGTTATCTCGTCTTGAGCCTCCTCGTCATCTCACCGCTCCGCAATCCATGTTTACTAATTATTCTGAAGGGCCCTATTACCGAAGAATGCTTGTTCCGTTCCGCTGGCGTTCCACTACTTCTCCGTTCTGGAGCCAGCCTTACTGGCACCATCTTCATGTCGCCGCTCATCTTCGGTCTGGCTCACCTTCATCATTTTTATGAGTTCCGTATCACGCACCCTCGAACTCCTCTCCCTGTGGCCATCGCGCGGTCATTACTTCAGCTATCGTACACGTCCCTGTTCGGAGCATATGCCACTTTCTTATTCCTAAGAACTGGTAGCTTGTTGGCCGTTGTGCTCGTGCACACCTTTTGCAACTGCATGGGCCTCCCACGTCTTTGGGGCCAGCTTGATCCTTACTGGCTGCCAGAGGGTGATCCGTCCGTAGCCTCGTCTAGAAAGATGTGGACTGGTGTTTATTACGTACTTTTGGTGGGCGGCTTAATTGCTTGGTGGCAGAATTTGTACTCGTTGACCGAGACACCAATGGCGCTGGCCAAGTTCTAAGATTATTTACTTCATGCATTTCACAATCGAATTGTTGAATATCGTATGCACAAATGAGATGGTCCTCTCATAGACCACGCTATGGCCCCATCTGTTATGTTGAGCTAAATGACCGACATGACTACTGGAACTAGTAGTAGCCTCATTGTCTGTGCATGATAACAGTATTCAGGTGATGGAAAAGTCAACACAATTCGATCGTCATCTGGTCTACTAAGTCCGGGAGAACCGAAAGTTGTTTCGGGATGGAATGAGGAGAGCTTTTATTTCGTTTACAAAACCTGATTAGGTTTCTAATTATGAGGCCGCTACCTGGAAATCGGGCAATGATCCTGGCATCGAGAAGTCATCGCTATCGTTGCTTCTCGTCCCTCGTCGATGCCGAACCGTCCCTCCGGCTCCTCGGTCTCTAATCTCTGCGTCTCCTCCTCGTCCACGTATCTCTTCTCGGTGATCCCGGCCAACATCCTTACCCCTCGATCGACCGATAGATTCACTTCTCTCAGTTGAACCATCGTCGGGACCTCTTGTGTTCTTCTTTCTCGGCCAAAGACTTGGAAGGGCAATTTCTTGGAATCGAGGCTCAACAGCTCGCTCATCAAACCAACGGTGAAGGCGTGCTTCGACAAGTTGAGCAATCTTGGGGACGTTGTGTAGTTTTGAGCGACTACCGAGAAGGCTTCGAATTTCAAAGTCCAGTCTGTAGTCGTCCAGGAAGTTGAAGATCATCCTCGTGGGTGTCGATTGAGAGGGGTTACTGGGAATGAAGGAGATGGAAAGGGTGCCACTGAACCTGATCACTGAAACGGCCAGTTCCACAGGTAGAACAGCAGATAGCTTCTTGGGATAGTTAAGGATAAGTTTTGTCCTCACAGCCAGAGTAAGCATGTCGCTCAGGTCGACGTCCATACGTGCCTGAAGACGTTGGCCGTCTCTTGCTGCGGTGGCCGGATCAAACTTCTTTCCAGGAGCAAGGCTAACTCCATCTTCGTCGACAGGAATGATACGGCAATTGCTCAGGATTGGAAAGTCTTCTCCTAGGCTCAACTCTGTGACCCGAATCTCATCAATAAAATCCGGCCTTGAATCCCCGTTCAATGCCTTGGTGAGTGAATCAAGAATAGCATCGTCATGCTGAGCATCACTTCGAAACTGAGCAATCGTTTGCGCAATGAGAACATTAAACCAGTCGAGACTTTCAGGCTGATGGCTGTCAACATTGTAGTATGCCTTACTCAGGATCGATCCAATGGTAAGTGCAGGAGGGTTCCTGAGGACAGTGGACTTCTTGCGGCTGAGGGACCTGTCCTGAGATCTATCTTGACGGTTTCCTGAGCTCCTTATACTTAGTAATGAGCGCTTGTGAGCAAGAGTTCTTGAGCGTCTCTCGGTAGCTCGTAGCGAAGCTGTGACGTCTGCTGAAGGAGGATCACCGAAGATGAAGAATTTGATGAACGCAGCCAGTACCAGAACCACAGACAGCTGCCCAACTATAAGACCTTGCGTAAAGGATAGACTATTAAAATATCTGTCAGTTTCGGTAAGGACTTCTCATGATGCAGGGTTTTTTTATTCACTTACGTCGGCTCTGTCGGCCGGGGACAGGTATCTGCTTCCATGATTGTAGTGTGAGGTATTAGATGCTACTCAAAGCCGTTACGCTCTGTTTATATTGAGAGCCTGAAGCTTTGATGATTAAGAAAGCATAGATACCATTTCGGCTCTTGTGGGCAATGATCTCATTGATGTCACCGACAACGATCATGATGAAGGTTGAGGTTGGTAGCGCAGGTAGCTCTTGTATTATGTAAGGCATCCAGGCCAGACTTCCAAGCTTGTGGGGCGCTCACCTACAGCACCTAACTATAGTGACAGTGGCATCTTAGAGGTCTCCCTGTCCATAACATCAATCATCAACAAGAAGTTCCCTGAATCACAGCTCTGAATACCATTGAAAGACTTGGTATCTCTCTCCGTACGACACTCCAACTCATAAAAACCTCATATAACAGCCCGGGAATAACACATTACGCGGCCCCGGCGAGCCCCGGCGAGCCCCAGCCATCATCATGGACGTTGCCCAAGCAGTATCTGGGTACATCAATAAGGTGGTTACGACGAGCGATACGTCGTCTGCCAAGATGAAAATTCTCTTACTTGATAGAGAAACGGTCTCTATCGTCTCGACTGCGGTCACACAGTCTTCTCTTCTCAACCATGAGGTCTATCTCATCGACCGTCTGGACAATGCTGCGCGTGAGAAGATGCGACACCTACGATGTCTATCTTTCGTGCGGCCATCGCCTGAATCAATTCAACTACTCATAGATGAGCTTCGGGATCCGAAATATGGCGAGTACCATTTGTACTTTACAAATGTTGTCAAGAAGTCGTCTTTGGAACGCTTGGCTGAGGCTGATGACCATGAGGTGGTCAAGCTGGTTCAAGAGCATTTTGCTGATTACAATGTCATCAACCCTGATCTCTTTTCTTTCAGTTTTACCCTTCCACAACAAAGAGTCTGGGCTGGGAGTCCGGATGCATGGAATCCTGACTCATTGCAACGATGCTCAGAGGGCTTAGTCGCTGTCTTACTCTCACTCAAGAAGAAGCCCCTCATCAGATACCAGAAGACGAGCCCCCTAGCAAAGAAGCTCGCGTCAGAGGTCCGATATTTAATGACCCAAGAGGATTCGCTATTTGACTTCCGAAAAGTTGATACTCCTCCCATTCTGCTTGTGCTGGATCGCCGGGAAGATCCAGTAACGCCACTACTCACCCAATGGACATATCAAGCCATGGTTCACCACCTCTTGGGTATTCAGAATGGGCGTGTCGATCTAAGCGATGTTCCAGATATTAGCCCAGAGCAAAAGGAGATCGTTCTATCACAGGATCAGGATCCATTCTTCAAGAAGAACATGTTTCTGAACTTTGGCGACCTTGGGGGCAACATCAAGGAGTATGTTGGGCAATTTCAGTCGAAAACCAAGAACAATGAGAACATCGAGTCAATATCGGATATGAAGCGGTTTATCGAGGAATATCCAGAATTCAGAAAGCTCTCTGGCAACGTCAGCAAGCATGTTACCCTGGTATCAGAACTTAGCAGACGTGTAGCTGCCGATAACCTCTTGGAGGTTAGTGAGCTGGAACAAAGTTTGGCTTGCAACGACAACCACGGGACTGATGTAAAGGTATTACTTGTCTTCTTTATATGAACCTTGAGCATGAGTTAACGCGATTCACAGAATATCCAGCGACTCATTCAATCACCGAATGTCACACCAGAAAGCAAGGTTGGCCTTGTAGCTTTATACGCTCTACGCTATCACAAACATCCTTCCAACACTTTGCCCATGCTTCAAGACCTCCTTGTCGCTGCTGGAAACGTGTCTCCGCGAGAGGCAGATTTGGTCAGCAAGGTGACGGCGTATCACAACTCCCTTCAGGCGTCACAGTCCCAGGGCGGAATTTCAGAAATCTTCGAATCAGCAGGCATCTTCTCTGGTACTGGCAGCCGCTTCAAGGGCCTCAAGGGAGTAGAAAACGTCTACACGCAACACAGCCCATTGTTGGAGACTACCCTACAGAACTTGATCAAGGGGCGACTCAAGGATCAGCAATACCCCTTCGTTGAAGGTGGTGGCACTACCAAGGACAAACCTCAGGACATAATCGTATTCATCGTTGGAGGTGCAACTTATGAGGAGGCCAAGATGACTGCAGAATTGAATGCGTCAAGTCCGGGCGTCAGAGTTGTTTTAGGAGGTACAACGATTCACAATTCGGCGACATTCTTGGAGGAGGTGGATGATGCTGTCAGTTCATGGCCAGAGAGCCGAGGTAGGAGATAGGGATTATGGTCATACGCGAGATAGTTTCAATTACAGCGACGATTTTGAGCCATTTTAGATCAAATATGAATAATATCAACCATGAATCGTAAATTTACTTGTCTATTACAAGGATGTATCATGATGAAGTGCTGATGTGGGTGAGGGAATGTCATTCTGTAACCTGATTGGATGAAATGCTTAACTAACCGTACTTTCTAGAGTGAACACCCAAAATTTGGACATTGATCTCGTCATGAGGGCAAATTTTACAACGACAACAACATGAAATGCGTGCGCTACTAAGACCCAGGACAGCCGTATTACGGTATCAATGGACAATTACAAGGCGACGGCACCTTGCGACTGTTCATAGCGATTTACAGTATGTCTCAACAAACAATATCTCGTCGTCATGACACCCATCGCATCGCGAATCATCACTGACACCCCGCCATAGACCTTACGATGTCGTGGTAATCGGAGGCGGCCACGCGGGCGCTGAGGCATGTGCTGCTGCTGCACGATCCGGAGCACGAACAGCCTTGGTAACGCCAAAAATCGACAATTTGGGAACATGTTCCTGTAACCCGAGTTTCGGCGGTATCGGCAAAGGCACAATAATCCGAGAGATCGATGCGCTCGATGGATTGGCAGGGAGAATTATCGACAAATCAGGTGTACAGTTTCATACTCTGAATCGGCGAAAAGGCGCTGCTGTCTGGGTTCGTCGACTACTCGGATTCGTTGTTGGAAGAATCAGTGACTAATGGGACTCGCAATAGGGACCCCGCGCTCAAATCGACCGAGAGCTCTACAAGAAACACATGAAGGACGAACTCTCTTCGTATCCCAACCTATCGATCGTACTCGACAGCGTGTCCGATATCGTCACTGAGCCTCAGGAGTTATTCGAAGGCGCATCAAGTCGCATTGCCGGTGTGCGCCTAGAGTCCGGTCAAATTCTCCCAACAAAAAAGGTCGTCATAACAACAGGGACATTTCTCGGAGGCGAAATTCACATCGGTCTGACTGCATATCCAGCTGGTCGAATCGGCGAGGCAGCGACATTCGGGCTAAGCAAGTCACTGCGTGATGCAGGCTTCGAGCTGGGACGCCTCAAGACTGGCACACCCCCTCGCATCGACGGAGCGAGTATAAACTATGATATACTGGAGAAGCAGTATGGTGATGATCCACCAACACCATTCAGTTACCTCAATGAGACTGTGGCGATTCAGGAGCAGCTGACTTGCAGTGTTACGTACACGACGGAGGATACTCACCGGATAGTACGTGAGAATCTCGATAAGACCATACACATTCGAGAGACGGTCAAGGGCCCACGGTATTGCCCCTCTCTCGAGTCAAAAGTCATTCGATTCGCCGACAAGGAACGACACATAGTTTGGCTCGAGCCCGAAGGTTTGGACAGCCCTGTCATCTACCCCAATGGGTTGTCCATGACAATTCCTGCTGAGGCGCAGGAGGAGGTCTTGCGCACAATCCCAGGTCTCGAGAACTCAAAAATGCTTCAGCCCGGGTACGGTGTTGAATATGACTACATCGATCCACGTGGCCTCAGGTCGACTCTGGAGACAAAGGCTATCAGCGGTCTGTTCCTGGCTGGTCAAATCAATGGCACGACTGGGTATGAGGAGGCTGCTGGCCAAGGTGTCCTTGCAGGCATTAACGCCGGTCGCTCGTCTCAAGGGCTTCCGCAAGTTTTTCTCTCAAGAGGGGATGGGTACATTGGTATCATGGTGGATGACCTTATCACAAAAGGTGTCACTGAACCTTACCGGATGTTTACCTCCCGAAGTGAATTCCGCATGGCAGCACGTGCTGACAACGCTGATGTTCGCCTGACGTCCAAGGGCTATGGATGGGGTGTCATATCGGAGAAGCGTTGGAGTCGTTTTCGTGATGAGCGACAGCAGGTCGATGACCTTACCAAACTCTTACAGTCAGTATCAATGAGCCCCTTACAATGGATTGAAAAGGGGTTCCATATGAAGCGCAACACTCAACGTCGCGATGGTATCGATCTCCTCCGTCTCTCAAATCCTGCCACACGCGTCGACATTGATCAACTTGCACCAGTCATCCCAGGCGTAATGGACTTTCCGCCTCGCGTGCGACGTCGTGTCGAGATCGAGTCTTTTTACGCCCCGTATATCAAAATCGCCGAGTCAGAGCGCAAGCAGCTAACAAATGATGAGCGCGTCAAGATCCCCCTCAATCTCAACTATGACAATATCCCTGGGCTTGCTATGTCAGAGAAGGAGGCGCTCAGGGCAGCGAAACCAGAGAATCTCGCACAGGCGAGGCGTGTTGAGGGTGTGACTCCGTCGGGTAGTTTACGTCTACTCGCTCACGTTCGTCGAAGACCAGAAGCATACTTGTTGGAGAAGGACGCTTCACGCGGGCGCCGGACACATAGGACGAATGAGAATTGAGGCAGTGTATAGGTTAATTGGGATCCATCGCATATAACTGGCGTTTTATTGAATAAGGTGTCTGGGGGGGACGAGAGAGGTTTTAAATAGGGTCTTAAAAAGTCAAATATGTCTGCCATAATCTCAGCAACGTCGTCTCATTGGAAATTCGAGTCCGAGAGTTCGAATATGTAGTTTAAGATTTGTTCTATCATCATCGACGCCGGTGTTTTTACATAAAGGGGGTATACACAGGATATTCAAGCTCAAGCTCAAGCTCAAAGTTTTGGAAAACCTTGCTGAACTTTGTCTTGCTGTTCGAATTTTGTCTTTTGTTCAAACCTTGCGTTTCCTGCTTTCTGGATGACCCTAGGCTCGGGCCGCGTTAGGTGAAGCCAAATTTGTGGCCTCTTCTGTTACTATCGTGACTGCCACTTGATAGACTTTGAACGACGATAGTAAATCAGGGGTTTTTAGAGTTCTGCTTATTAAGGATTTTGACTGCATCCTTTGTGTAGATGTAGCTTGCACCGCTCCATATGGTGGTAGCAGCAACGACGTATCTGGTTACTTTTAGAGTGAGAGTCACGGAAAGTCAAGATGGTTGAACTTACTGCATGACTGTCAGGGCAGATGACAAGTCGGTGCTCAAAAGGGGCGCAGCAGTCGTGACTCCGACGAGTGCAAGTTGCAAGAAGGTGTTGTACTTGCTGATAGTCGTGGGGCGAACTTCAGCTGATGGGAGTGAAAAGTCCCAATAGCGGGCAAATGTCTTTGGTGGCGGGAGAGAAATCCATCGGTAGTAAATTGCAGAGATAGCGAGGCCGACATCACGACCCAGGATGATGCCAGCGCACCAAACTTTCGCACATTAGCTTTTGAGTTATTGAGAGTCACAAGGGAGCATGAACGCACTCGGTAATGCGCCCTTGGCAGCCAGACAAATGGTCAGAATCGTCATGAGAGTTTTGTCTGCCATTGGATCAATGACTGTGCCTACGACTGTCTTGCTGTCCCAGCGACGCGCAATCCATCCATCGAGGAGGTCTGTTACGCCCGCATAGGCAAAGAGGCCAACGGCCCATGCGTGCTGATCGTGAAGAACGAGGTAGCCAATGACCGGGGCAGCAACGAGACGTGTGAAGGTTAATATGTTGGGCAGCGTGTAAATGTCTTCGTGCAGGACGGCAGCAGGGCGTGACGGCTTGGTATCATTGTCGTGCTGTATCGCAGGTTGTGGCCTATGTACAATGGGTCAGTACAATACAGTCAATCGGTACAACTGGAGCTTGTACTCACCCAAGGGGCTTCTCCTCCAGCTTTTTTTGTTGTGGCTTATGACCCAACCATGACTGGGCCTTTGTGAAGAAGAGACATCGCGGGGATGATGCTATCGTGGGTCTGGGCGCGGACCTCCCGAGAGCAGGTGTTGACCTCGCAGTACACCTCGTCGTCGCCCGCCAAGCCAATCTGGCGGAGAGACTCATCTCTGCACTTGTCTTGTCCTTTTCGAAAACGGGCGCTGCCCAAACCCTCTCGTCAGTCGCTCAATTGCACCCGGGAAGGTAGATTCTTGCTTGGTTATCTGACGATGTAGTTGGAGCAAAGTCGGGAAGCCCCGTTTAGAACCCCGGACCCCGCTTATCTCATGTCACGGTTTGGCAATATCGAGATGCCACCAACTTCACAATCTTGAATCTCATGATATAAATTTGAATCCCATACTCTTGACCATTTTGTTCATTCAATCTGCCATTCAGACTTTCATGTTGCATCAGTATCTGAAGTATCTACTAATCTTTCAAGGTTCTCTTGTGTTTGAGTTTGTGTCAAACCCTGTTAGTGAGAAAGTAAATATTATTGGTTGTGAAACTCATCAGAGTAACTGTAGTTCGCGACGAATAAAGGCAAATCGGATAATTAACGTATCTAAGCAATTCCTGCCTGAATCAGAGTTCCACAGGGATATATCTAGGTTTCTACTTTATGCATTTGCAAATTTAAGTTGAGATTGCCAGCATAGCAATTGAAGATGTCCAGAAAATAGAAAATGGGGACCTACCCTAAAGTGCTGAGTCGTGCTGACATGGACTTTGCCAGTTGCTCAGTTCCTGGGAGACATCAAGCTGGATCAAGTGGTCCTCACATTTGGACGATTGGGGGGGGGGGGGGGGGGCATGGAGAACTCCCCGAAAATTGGCCTGGCACCCTGGCCGTAATAGATAGTGAGGATGGATAGCCAAATCTGGATGAAGACGAGTTAAGTGGCAATGAAGTCGTGTCGGTGGCTTCTCAGAAGAGAGCTCCAGATTGCAATACGACTACGACCATAATACGGTGCATATACAGAACATTATCAGTCGTCGTGGGGTACTTTTCGTATCATGGCCATTCTGGTGTCCCGTACTGCAGCGTTGTAGTACAATAGCGCCGTGTAAGTGGTTGGTGTTCACCAGAGGCGCAACTGGAAAAGCTGGTGGCTGCTTCACAGACGTCACTATGTTCCCACATTTTGGCTATTCGAAATCATTTGGCCGTAGACAGGCCGCTAAAATCGAAAGGAACCACGCAGATGCCGAACAGACTGATACGGATCGTCTGCCAACAAAAATAAAAAATAAAAATGGCTCTGGCGTAAAAGAATTGATAGTCGTAATCAAGATAGAGATCGAATTGACAGGACTGGGCTGGACTGTTTAGGGCATAGCGCTAGCGCTGAGGCACTGGCAGATCAGTGACGCGGTCCCACGTGACCCCGCGTTGTCGTCCCTTGGAGACACAAGGATCTTAGACAGGGATATCGAATCGATAACTTAACTCAAACGACACCCAAAACATTAAACCGTACTCCAGATTTTAAAAATCAACTTCAAACCGTCACCCGAAACTCAGTCGATCTGGTCAAACTCTTGTCCTCAAAACCGCTGGAGTCAAAAGGCAAACATGGCTGGGTCCCGAGAGGATCCCGTCGAATTGGGGAGCGACATGGACGAAGATGAAGCGCTACGCTATGCTATTGCCCTTTCACTCCAGGAACAAGAGGTACAGGGAGAGCAGAGTTCGCAGATCCCGAGCGCCTCAACCTCGACATCCCACCGGAACGGGACTGGCTCGGGCGGGGCTTCCTTGGGTTTGCTTTCGCTTGATCGCAAGAAGATGGAAGAGGAAAGGTTGCAGAGGTTAGCCAAGCGGCGCCGCTCGCCAGAGGACGCAGGAAATGTTGGCGAGGTCCCGCCTGCAAAGAGGATGGCACCATCCGAACCTTCCAGGACTGTAACCGCAACGGCAACGGCACCTGAATTACCAAGCTTGGTTTCCTATCCCAAAGGTGCTATCAAAAGAACTTGGGCTAAAGGGTACCCGCGGACTTCCGATGATATCAAGATCGAAGAGGTGTTTCAAAAGGACAAGTTGGAGCTTGCTCTTCTAAGCTCGTATCAGTGGGATGATGAATGGCTCATGTCCAAAATCGACACGAGAAAGACCAAGCTAATGCTCCTGGCATTCGCCGACAGTGAAGCCCAGGTGTGTATCAATGGCTAATCCTGACTCGTTCGGGATATCCCTCGCTGGACCCCTCAAATGGACAAGACCCAGAGGCTGACGGCGAAACCTGCCGCAGAAATCAGAGATGCGATCGAATGCGCCACCGGGCATCAAGTTCGTCTTCCCGGCAATGAATGGGCCTGGGGCCATGCATTCCAAGCTTCAGTTGCTAAAGTACCCTGGCTATCTTCGAGTTGTGGTCCCAACTGCCAACCTCGTCCCCTATGATTGGGGGGAGACTGGCGTCATGGAGAACGTTTGTAGCTGAACCGAGGCGACTTCGATGCCGTCCGTGACGGGATTGCTAATGAGTTCTCTAGATGGTTTTCCTGATCGACCTCCCTCGTTTAAAGGACTCCTTGACTTATCGGCCAACCGATTTCAGCACCGAGCTCGGCCGATTCCTGTCAGCAAGTGGTGTTGGTGAGGGCATGGTAAGCAGCCTCGCTAACTACGACTTCTCACAAACAAAGCACCTTGGCTTTGTGTACACCATGTAAGCCTATCAAGACCTTGAAGATTGGACCATGCATGGTTTGATGATCATCATGCTCGACCCGCATGAACGATGCACTGATACTAGATTTTAGCCCTGGTGGACATCAAGGAGATTCCTTAAAGCGAATAGGTCAGTGGACGTGCAAGTTTCGATGATTCTTGTGCAACAACGGCTCATGTCATGTAGGATACAGCGGGCTGGGCACCACTGTGGCTGCTCTCGGGCTAGCCACTGACGAACCAATTGAAGTGGATTTTGTCGTGGGTACCATTGAAGTCGCATACCAGTCTAAAGAGCATTGATTCTAACCACGGATGAGCCCTTACTCCAGTGCGCCTCTCTTGGATCCCTAAACTACGACTTGGTGGGCGCAATCTATAATGCATGCCAAGGTGAGAAGACATCGATACTGTGTACCCCCCTCTGCTGTTTACCCCGCACATAGCACTCGACTGCAATGATGTGGACTGACTGACGAGTGATGAATTGTAGGAGATGATGGCATGGCCGAATACAAGTCGAGAATAGGCCGAACGGGCGCAGCCTCCAAAAATAAGGCGTCAAACCCGTGGCAAGAGAAGCTAAAGGACCGTTTCCGAATATATTTTCCGACGGATGAGACAGTTGTCAGAAGTCGAGGTGGGCGTAATGTAAGTGTGCCTGTAGCATGGCATGGCAAGGATGGATGATCTTGGATAAACTGGAGAATCCTCACATGCGAAGAGAAAGACGCAATGAAAAGCCAACGCTAATTTGTGAGCGCGCTGATGCAGGCTGCGGGTACCATCTGTGTCCAGCCCAAATGGTGGCGCTCGCCAACTTTCCCCACTGAGCTGGTGCGGGACTGTGTTAACACCAGAGATGGGCTCCTGATGCACAGCAAGATGATCATGGTATCACAGACGCAAGCGGGAAGTCAATTGCAAACGCGTCCGCAAACGCGACCGGAGCCGCGACACCACAACTCAGGGCCGGCTAGTAGCAGTACCGCGGAGCCGAAAACGGAAGAGATGTCTCTTGGCTGGGTCTACATTGGCAGCGCAAATCTGTCAGAAAGCGCATGGTAAGTGAGACCCTGACCATGCCCCAATCGAATCCCCCCTCTTTTCTGTAAGACATGGGGGAAACTTGAGACAACAAGGCAGCAAGCGAGCGAACATCAACGGCCAGTGCGATGGTGCGGTTGTTTAGGTAGTGTAGCGCGCTACTAGCTGCCTCTTGAGGAGAATTTCAGCATGACTGGCACGAAACTGTGACGATTTCATGAATCTAACGCTGACGGTTGTGGTTACGTTGTGCCATACAGGGGCCGCATTGTCAAGGACCGAGCGACAGGACAGCCAAAGATGAGTTGTCGCAATTGGGAGAGCGGTGTTGTAGTGCGAATTAGCAACCCCAAAAACAGCAGCACCGTCTCCGCCAGCTTCAGCACCAGCGCCAGCGCCAGCGCCGGTGCCAGTTCCAGCACCAAGGTCAAGGCGGCAGAGGGCCAGGCACGGTCATCGGTGCGGGCGGGGAAGATATCGGGGGAGCCGGACAAGGGATGTGTTACGAGCCAACATAATCATTACCACTACCAGATGCAGAAGCAGAAACAGAAACAGGAGGAAGGGCTCACGGACACAGATGCAAAAGCAGATTCAGACATGATGAGCGGCACTGTTTTCGAGGGCACAGTCCCAATACCAATGCGACGACCAGGTCGACGCTATCGTGAGGGTGAAGAGCCCTGGTTTTACAGTGTGCAGGGCTGATCGACCAGGGCGCGTTTGTTAGCCACTTTCGGGGCACTAAGCGATCAAAGATGAAGAAGAAGGGCAGAAAATTCACTGAACAGGTCATAGATGTTGAGGACGGCAGTTGTGAATAACCCTGTCGTCTCAGTTTGATATTACGGTATTGTAAGATGGGTTGGATGGTTGTTGGCCTCTGCGCAGTACCGTATCAGCCGTATGTACATATCTGGCAATCCGCAGATGCTCACGTTTCGGGTTCGGCATCATTGATCAGTCGACGCAACGGTATTGCGTTGCGGGCATGTGAACAGGTTGATAACAAGGCCATGCTCATTAACCGATGATAGTGATACCACCATATATCCCGTAAGGTGGTTAGTTTAATTACTATAGAACGGCTCTGGGGATTAATGATCCAGGTGTTGCCATGTCTAGGAATATAGATGGAGATGAGGAGACGTAATGAGTAGATGCTTTGTGTATTAGCAGCGTGGCGATGCGATGGGATGCGATGGGATGCGATGGGATGCGATTGGGATGCGACAGGGTACAAACGATGCCAAGATGGGAGTTGGATCATTTCAAACGGAAGACGGAAGCAGGAGCATCTCGAACTGGGGGTTTGGGGTCGAGTTTGCAAATCAAATCATGAAGCCCAGGACAAGGTATCTCGGTACTTGGCGGGCTGACAGTAAAACCCATGCAAATGGTCTCAAGCGATGACACACGATTACAAAAGCCAATTGGAGAATCCCACCCAATGGGAAGCTGAGTGCCGCCTCGTCGGTCGGCTCTCCCACTTGTGCGTGCGTTCTTTCCCAGTCCCTTCCCTTTTTCTCTCGAGACAAAAGCAGCAGAGAACACAGGGCAAGGACAAGGGACAAATGACCAGGGTGTGGCAGCCCAGAGGAGAAAGAGTGATGGGCAGAACAGCCAATCACGGTAAAAGGCAGAGATGGCCTGCAGGACGGCAGGTGCATCGGCCAATCAAAAGTCCCAAAAAGGTACCTGGGAAGAGGAACGGGTGGAGAGCACTAAGAGCGCCCCAGAGACCCATAAGACAGGCACCAAAGCCAATGCCGGAGGTCGCTGCATACCATGTCCATGGGCTTGACCATGTTCGTTTTCATTTTCATCATTTTTCAGGTCCATGTCCATGCCTAAGACATGGGCTCCTGCTATTTTTTCTGTTTCTGTTTGCGGGAGTAAGGTAGCAGCTGTCGGTCCGGGGAGCTGCTGCGTGCGTGCGTTCCACTGTTATGGAATCAATTAATCAATCTGGGTATGTAGCAGCGTCGCGTCGCAGATTCGACATAACACCGGAGGCGGTGTTTAGTCTATATGCCGATAAGGCACAGCAGCACCCATGGCCTGGTAGTTGAAGTGACATGATATGAGATGACTTTACATGGAATACGCCATGATATCCATCCACATCAGACTCCGTAACTCAATTGACGCGCGGCAGGATAAGGCACGGTAAGCTAAGGCAAGGCGAGCAAGACAACCAGACCCAGACATCCAGACAGCTCGCCTAAGACGAGACGAGAAAGGCCAAAATACAGGGATCAGCCAGGCACACACCAACACCAAGCCCAAGCCAACCCAACACCAGCGAGATTTGCATATCCAACGGGCGAAGGAGAAAATCTGGAATCATCAACTAAACCACGAACTGACTAACTAACTAGCTAAATGCACTAACTAATCCTCTGCTACTTCGGCATCTTCCTGTGATTTCATTTTGATACTCAAGATTGGAGCGCAAGCCAAGAGAAATGGATAAATCGGAATTCAGTCAGGGACCTTTTGTTTTACACCCCCATGAATAGAAGAGCCGACTCAAGAGTGATACTGTAGAGAGAGGCTCAGCCCTGAGTGATGTGAGTGAGCTGTGATGGTTGTCAGTTAATGGGGGCTGTGGTGCTTTGGCCTTTTTTCCTTTCTCCAATGTGGATAACAGAAATCATCCAAACAAGAAAGAAGAGGGGTTGATGAGTGTCAAAAACAGCACAGACAAAAAGTGATAATGAACATCCAATGACATGGTGGCTCAAACGAGTTCACATATGATGGTGTAGAATGTGGTCGACGATGATGATAACAATAGATATAAAGAATAACAAAGAATACAATGGCATTGTTGGAGACGGAGGATTCATTCTGCAGCGACAAATCAGACACATCACATACATGCCACATACATATCGAGATAGACGAAAATCATAACTAGAGGCATTGTGATGGCATATTCTCAAGAAAGAACGGTATAGTGCGTCACTGATGCATAAGGAGGAAGAAGGGAGGAGGGGTGCAAGGGTGTAGGGGGTGAGGAGCGTGTCCCCAGGCGTGTCCCTACTAAGACTAGGACCACCTCCAAAGCACTTCTCATGAGGAGAGGTACAGCCTTCAGGGACGAGGTGAGGTAGTTCCAGCTGGGATGGGACGGAGGATGGGGATGTAGGTTTTTCATTGCATTAAGCTTCCCGTCGATTTGGAGAAGGGCTGAACAGCTCTAACTAGATCTGAATCTTAGAATTCAGATAGTGAAGAGCTTCTTTTGAATTGAAGAAACTATCTGGAGAGAATGATTCGCCCAAGCCCTTGCTCAAATAGAGATCGAATTCTTCCAGAGTGAGACACAGATCCGACCTGGAGGGAACCCCAAGATGATGGCAGGTCAGGTACCTACCTACAACTCGCGGTCTCTCGGCCGCATACAAACAGCCCGCAACTGTACCTACCTAGAGTAGATCCGGACAGCCACCACCCACCTCGACAGCAGGTGTGAGACACCACACTACACGCACGTACCGATACGGTAGGTAGGTACTCGAGGTACTTCGGCACATGCTCCGACAACGCAATGAAGGGGCTTTGCTGGGGTATCTGTTCAGTCAGCGGAAGTACCTGCTCAATGTTGAATTCAGGATGTTTCCAATGGACCTGACCATGAGGAGGCAGGCGGGCGGGCGGGCAGGCGGGTACGTACCTACCTCCTACCTTGCCGTACATCTTTTTGCTGCCCTACCAACTCAATACCACCTGGATGGACTGCCGTACTGACCTAAGGTGCCTATCCCCAGTATCCCCTGGGTGAGGTGGCCGCGGATACCGTACCGTACCGTAGGGAGGTTTTGGTACCTGCTTGCAGTTCCATTTCCCTCCTCCTCCTTCCTAGGAGGTCTAAACGACATGGATGGCAATGACAATGTGAAATGGCACTGGCAGGCGTGGATTTGGAACGGCATCTAAGCTGAGGGAAAGGCCGGATACAGACACTACCCAGGATGTGGTTGACGCAGACGGGAGCCAGCCAACAAGTGCCAGGCCCCAGATTCAAGTCCAGGTAATTACTAGGTACCTACCTGCTGTTTCCTAAATCCAAGCTCGAGTCCATCCATCTATGCCATGGAAGCGCAAGTGCAACTAGCCTTTAGCCCGCCCTGTAGTGTAGATTGCCTACTTGGGTAAGTGCATTGCATTGCATTCGACTACATTACATCCAAGCCATCCACTTACACCTCAACTTCACTTCACCACATTTCATCCACATTATTCTCTTGTTCTTCATATTTTTTCTTCTTCTTCTTGTTGACCAACCATTGTTTACTTTCACGAACTGGCTTTCACAATCATTGCCACCTGACGCTTGAACGGTATACGCACACGCCTCGAACCAATTACTTCGTGCTGTCATTTTCTCAGAGATTCTTCACCCCAAAGTCAATGGTGAAATAAAGAAACAGCTCACGCTCTCCTATACGCCTGCCCTCCCGCCACAACTGGAATACCTTCTCCCTTGAAGATAGCCTTTTGTCAAAGGTCCTCGTGATACCCATTTGCACGCACTGTTTGGCGCAATTTACGTTGTTGAGTTCGAGAGCTCAACTTTCGCCATTGTTCGGTGCGGTATCTCTCGTGAGTAGAGAGAAGCACCTATAGGCATACTGTGGCTGGCTTCACGATTTGAACAAGCTTTACGATTGCTCGCCATCTTATTTGCTACAGCAACTCCGTGGAAAGGCTGTGTTCGCCTCAGTAGGATTTTTGAGAGCACCACGAGGGGGCCCTAATTCTATAAATTTCTCGACCCTCCCTCGATTTTAGACTTGGAAGTTTTTCTCCTCATCCAAAGTCAACCTCGCGAAGTCACTGAGATTACATTCACTAGATTCTCGCGACTGACTTAGGATCAAGGTTAAGATCACTTACACTCACACTACACTTCCACTACCTCCCCCTTTCCCTCCCATCTATCTCCAGCCTTAAAGGCTATCCCTTCCAAAATGTCTGGAACCATGCCGCTTCAACCGACATTCTATGGTTTCATAGGTGATACCACTGATGCCTTGATCATTTTCGAGGCATGTCTCTCTGGCAAACTGTCTCACGTCCCTCGTCGACCACATGACCGTGAGCGTCAAGATCTCATCAAAAGCGGCAATGTCTTCGTCTACGAAGAGCATGCTTCTGGAATCAAGCGCTGGACCGACAGCATCTCGTGGAGCCCCAGCCGTATCCTTGGCAACTACCTCCTGTACCGCGAGCTGGAGAAGCCCTTTCCACCCGGAGAGAAGAAGCGCGCCAGGGGAAGGAATGGCAAGTCAGCCACACAATCTGGAGGCATCACGAAATCACGACCACGAAACCCTGTCCCTTACCAAACAGGCCTGGAACATGGTTCTGAGTACACTACTGTGGCCAGTGATGATGAGCGCCATCTGGTCGGTTCACTCGTCGACTCCTACGACTTCAAGGAGCAAGGACTCGTCAAGAAGACGATCAGCATCACGTACCAAGGCGTGCCTCATCACCTCGTTAGTTACTACCATGTGGAGGACGTCAAGGCTGGTGCTCTGCCAGGTCCTGTGGATGACCCCAGACTCCGCGGCGTCGTTCCTCGAACAGAGCTCCTGACAGGTCAGAACTTCCGCGCCCCAGTCGAGGAGGTACCACAGGCTGCATACGCTTTGAGCGGCAGCTACCTGCCAAACATGGAGCCCCAGTATGCGCCTATTGGCTTTGCCCAGCACCAACACCCGTCACAACACCAGCCGCAACTACAACACCAGCCGCAACTACAGCACCAGCCGCAACTACAGCACCAGCCACAACTACAGCACCAACACCAGCCACATCACCAACACCAGCCGCAACTACAGCACCAGCCGCAACACCAACCGGAGCACCAACATCTGCCGCAACTACAGCACCAGCAACCGGCAATGTACCCGCAACAGACGCTGCCTGTGCACCAACACCCGCCTGTATACCAGCAACAGTACCAACAGTCAGGGTGGTGGTAGGGAAATGAGCTTAGGGGGAGGATAAGGAAGACTCCCGTATTCCAATAGGTATTCTAGTCAGACTTTTAATAAAAGTCTTATATTTTTTATATAGAATATTTCCTTTAATGATGAGACCTATTTGGCAACGGGGAGGCGTGATGGCGATGATGGGTAACTTGAGGAAGGCGTATGGATGTATGTTTTGTTTGTATGGATAGAATAGGTACCTTAGGCAATAATCTCGACACAAGAGTGGCAGCCACGGGGACTGCCAGTTGCAATATTATAAAAACACTATATCTTTCCCACTTCTAATGTCCCTGTACCATACCTTGATGGAGGGAATGGTATTAATCAATGCCGTGTTTCTAGATGCGAACTCTGCGATGCATGTACTTCGATGCTCGCAGTCCCAACAAGTATATCCCCGTATACCCAGTAGTACGAAATCGATTTAAAAGTTGGGCAGCTCCCTGGCAACTCGCTAGCAGGTCTGAGTCTCATATCCCTCTAAGCTGTCTGGCGCCACACGCTCTTCATCATGTTTGTAGCGGGCCATGTAGCAATAGCCGCGACCATGAGCTCTGGCATGAGCCCTTCTTCAGTGCTCCAGTGAGCCGACAGAGGCATCCATGGAAGTGTACCAAGAACCTCGGCCTTCCAGTTGTTCTTCCACTCCTCTTCAGTGGCGATATCGCCGCTTGTTGTTCTGCGCACACGTTCAACCAGCAAACGGACGAGCTCGAGAGCGACCCACGCGCACCATGAGCGAGCAGCCATGATACCTAGCTTGGCGCTCGTCTTTGGTGAAAGGTTGGTAGCGCCCTTACAGGTCAGCCAGCAAGCACCTTCGCCGACGTTGTAGACCAAGTTGCAAAGGATCTGCACAGTCATGAAAGCAGTGTTGACTCGGTTGGGTGGAGGTACTTTTTCACCATTCGCGTCGAGTTTTTGACCACGTAGACGAAGGATCAGATCCTTGGCCTCGAGATACGTGCCAATTATACCCCACATACGGTTCATAGTGCGCCACTCGCCCAACATGTTGGTGAAGCCCTGGATGTACTTGGATAGATTGAGGGCTAGAGTCGCAAGAGGCGGCGCAGTCGCGGTAGAAAGGACGACGGAAGCCGAGGGTGGTATCTTAAAGGCCATCTCGACGACCTTGCGAGCCGAGTGACGAAGCGTAGTCCGACCCAGAATGTTGAGAATAGCTCCGATCAAGCGAGCAGCATAAGTTGTGAAGAGGAGGACGGTATCTGTGCCTCTTCGCGTCTGAATGACGCGGTTGAGATGTTCGACGAAGTCATCTATGGCAGAGGACGACTTGAGGAGTCGCGCGAGAGGACTAGATTTTTGTGCAACATTTTTGTTCTTATTGTTGCTTGTAGTGTTGATGTTGTTGTTGGAGTTGAGGCTCTTTTCGATGGGCTCGGCCGGAGGCGCATCGGCGACGACGGGCTCCGCTGAGGGAATGACGATGGCCTCGGCGGGGGACTCAACTACAGCTGTTTCTGTTTCTGTCATGGCGGCGGATGATTTGGGAGGGAGAAGCTCACGGTGAGCATTGAGAGTTGTAAAAGAAAATAGAATAAAAATGTAATAAAAATAAAGGAAGACAAAAAACTTGGCAAATGGAGGTCAACGTATGTATGAAGAACCAAGTATGGTATGGCCCAACCTAGATTATTAGCGGTCTCAGGGACGTCGTGGGGACATGAATTTTTATCAATCAGTACATCTATCATGTACCTTTGTCCTTTAGTGGGTGCTTTTCGCTGTGTTGACCGAGGCCGCAGGTGAAAACTCCGTAATCCTTAAAGGCCCCGTGCCTCGGTAGTGGAGTTGAGTGAATGTGATTCGTGCGTAGGCCCGAGATATTTACTCGGTAGACAAGGATGATCAAGCAGAGGATAGAACTCGTTCGATTATATACATTATAGTAAACTTAGCTATTGTATTCGATATATTTCGATCATCTATCTTTAGAGTCTGTATCGGATATGTGATGATTTTGAGTCTTGAATATGGCTCATCGTTTGACTCCAACGGAACGTCCCAGATATGTGGACTGTCCAGATTAGGCAATTTTCTCCTGAAGCATTCCTTTGTGACCAGAATGAGGCATTACGGCATATTTCTTTGTTGAGAGTTATTCAACTGGAATAACATAGACTAGTATCCTCCTTTGTCTTGACATTTGTCGGGATTTGTTTCCGATCAAAACACATGAAATCTTGAGAAAACGAGAGCTACGGATCATCAGCCGATACAAACTACGGAAAACACTGCGTGCTTTCTTTCATCAACCAACAATATCTACCAGTCGTTTTATGTTTTGAGCTTCCAAAACTTCTCAGATTGTAACAAATTAGCGACCTTGTTGCCTGATGATACCCTAGGGATTCACGGCAATCAGCGGACTACAAGTAACGTGACCTCGTGTCCAACCCGCGTAACAACATGTGGACATTCGCGTACACTCTTTCTTCCTCCATCGCGTTGCTGCCTTGAGTACACGAGAGTCAAAATGCTTCACTTTGCCTGAACTCGGTATCGTTTCAGAGCCCACGTGGGCCTGAGCTTTTCAGCTGAAGTCTCTATTCGGCCAAAGCTGAGCTGAACGAGGTTAGCGGAGGCTGGTGCCCCATTGGCTTGGCAAGGATTCATATTCAACCTCACTTCAACACCTCTATATAAGGCCATGTTCAAGTCTTTCAACAGGGCTATAACAACATCCATCGCACGCTTCGCAAGGAGCAAAATGTCAACCGGTCAAGAAATCAAACTTCCTGGCTTCGGCCTTCCTATAAGCTACGCTGGAACCCATTTTCCAGTTGTCCTTGGCAGGGAAGAAGGAGACTGGAGAGCCAGTACTTTGACTATTCGAGAAGTCTGCATGATCAAAGTCATCGAGGACCTCACCAACAAACCCGAGTGGTGGATCAAAGTCAATCATGATGAAATTGCTGCCAAGTGGAAGAAGGAGGCCATGGAGATGCCCTGGGGAGAGTATCGGGTACACGGTGATTTCACTCAGGCCATGGCCGATGCTGTAAGTAACATTTATCAGCTAAATACACTGAAATGTCCTGCTAAACCACGATAGTGCATCAAAGAATTGCGTAAAAAGGCAGAAATCTACCAAAAGACTGGCCTCATTCCTGTCATGGATTACGCTTCTGCTGCCATTAAATCAGACAATTTGGTCTCTAAAGATCTCCGAGATGCCCTCATAGCTGCCGTTTCCCCCCTGGAGAATGTCCCCGAGGAGCACAAGGACTGGCATCCTGGCAGTGATGGCAAGGTTCTCGACATTGTCCACCCTTCGCTGTGGCCGCTTGTTTACGGGCGATCTCTCATCCTCCCAGACAAGCGCATCAATGTCGAAGAAGCGTTGTCGCATTGCGGGAAAGGCGTTGTTATCCCCGAGGACAACAGTGATAACAGCATGTGGCCTTCTAGTGCCTTTTCTAAATGCTTCCAGTGGCTCCCTTGCGACGTTGACCTAACTGGCAAGCATCCTCGTGTCGACAGCTACATCAACAATGTACACCCGGTCAAACATGCCGAGCTCTATCCCGTCATCGAGAAATTCATCGAGAAATCGCTCCCGGCTTGGGATGTCATCTATCGATGGCATGACGACCTCGAAGTCCAACGTATCTTCACCACGAATGTCCGACCAGATTGCAAAGTTCCAGAGATCTGCGGAGATGACTGGTGTTCAGCCCAAAATCGTCCACTGGATGATGATGAGCCGCCTCGTAGAGAGGATGAGGACTACGAAGAAGATTACGAGGAATCTGATCGCAATAAACGCGACGAGGAATGGTTCAGGGAGACCCATGTTCCAGAACTTCCAGAGCCCAAGACTGAGTCGGAGGAGCTCGTCAAGATCAACCCTAGCGACGTAAAGACCTCTGGCTTTTTTAACAACGCTTCTCGTGTGCAAGTCATTGTCAAGCTTGCCAACATCCATCTTACACCCGAGAAGCCAACTTATGACGGCGGTTCATGGCATGTCGAAGGCCAGTTGAATGAGCACATATGCGCGACTGCACTCTACTACTATGACTGCGATAATATCACTGATTCTCGCCTTGATTTCCGCACACCTGCCAACAGAGAAGACCAAACTTTGGAACTGAATTACGAGCAGGGAGATTTCGACAGCATCGAACGAGTATTCGCTATTGACACCGGCGCAGACTCACTCCAAAACATCGGCAGCGTCCTCACACGTCAGGATAGAATGCTTTTCTTCCCCAACTTGTATCAGCACCACGTCAGCCCTTTTGAACTGATTGATAAGTCTCGCCCCGGCCACCGAAAAATTCTAGCCCTATTTTTGGTCGACCCTCATATTCCTATCATTTCGACTGCCAATGTTCCTCCCCAGCAGCGCGATTGGTGGGCCGAGGTCTTGCTTAAGAATGATCGTTTCAATAACTTGCCCCCTGAGTTGACGCGTATGGTGGTGGATAACTTGGATTTCCCTATTGGTCTGGAGGATGCAAAGAAGAATCGGGAGGAACTCATGGCGGAGAGAACTAATCTGCAGGATACTCTTAACAGCGACCTCAAGAATCTTGAGTGGAATTTCTGCGAGCACTAAACCGAGAGTCATTTGTAGAACGTTCTGTTCTGGTTTCTATGTCGAACTAAAGATATCTCAAATAGAGTTGTGCACTTAACGAAACCCGAGCCTTCTAACATCTTTCGACGTGGGATGTCCGATCTATGCTCGCTTTATAACGTTCGCAGAGGCTGGTCGAGGAGCCATTTGCTTTGGCTAATTCTAAGAAGTGGGAAGTGGCCACATAAAAGCCGAATCATAGACTTGAGTCTCTGGCTAAGCCAAGAGTATGAACCACATCTCGCAAAGTCGTATGTCATATGCTTTGGCCATAAGGAATAGGAGTATGTTGCCAAGTCTCAAGGCGTTTAAAGAAACATCGGGGATGAAACGGGCGTTTAATTTCGAGGGATATGTCCTGAATAGTCACAAATGGGACCATACTGAGCCATGGTGTAAGAGGACCAGCATGCTTTTTATGGGCAACAACCTGACTGTGAATCTAGCAATCGAGAAGACTTTTGTACACACTGAAAATCAGTGTATCAATAATGTTGTCCAGGTGTCTTTTTCTTCAGGCGGAGCTGATCTGGATTCTGTCTGGTAACAATGTTTGTAAAAGCTGTCTGCACAAGATTTGATGCAGAAAGTCTACACTAGTCGGCACTCTTTAGTAGAAGAACATTATTGATGAACTGGCATGTCCCATCAAGAGTCATTCGCTTCGCACATGCTATACGCCAATGAGTGGTGTAAGTCAGCTTCCAAGCACCAAGACACGACATTGGGATTGTTCGCGCCGATCTGCGTATGTTCCATGACCTGATCTAAGCCTAAGCCTAATCTAGTATTCTTTAATACCTGCTCTGATTTTCCCTGTTACAAATCAACCTTGAACCTTGAGAATCCATTTTCAAGGCACATAAGGATAGCTTCAGGATAACCCTGGTTTTCTCCAATGCATTGTTTTCCAAGCAATCTCTCACTCTACAAACTGCTCAATGAAATCCCTAACCACCCATTGAACCACATGCCTTATTAGAATGTTCATTACACGTCAGGATCGTAAGAAATTAGACTGACGAGCGGATATGCCAAGCACGATTCTACAAGGTTGATCCTCCACCTGCGCAGGATCAGACCAGATGCGGTAAGTTTGATGGGATTGCAACCCTTGAATAGCATGGAGACAAGTCAGGCTGTCTACACGAAAATCTGAAAAATCAAGATATGCTTCTGAGGATTTCATAGGTGCTTGACCTTGGGTTTGAAGGATTAGACGAATGCCTTGGCTGAATGGATCTGAGGTGGAAATCAGGCTGAGCGTTGCATCGCTTCGTGTGTTAAGGTGCGGTTGTAGTTATATACCTATTGGCCTCTGAGTTTCTCTGAAGGAGTTTCCTCTTGGTTCTGACTCTTTTGGCTCCGACCTTATTTTAAGTCCTGCTGCGGTGTTGATATTATCACATAAATTCAAGTATACCCTCTCACAACCACCGCTTGTTACTATTGAGATCGACGAAGGTCATCAGAAAGTTAGTCTTATCTCAACTACTCAAACAAGTCAATTTGCTGGGAAACTAACTATCTTTAGACTCAGTATACCTTTTTTATTTTATTTATTTTATTTTTTATATTTTTTTATTTTACAGCAGCATCATGGGCATCCTCGACGATCTTATTCCCAGGCCTACAGCTCCCCCAGCCACAAGAACACTCAACGTCGGGCAGTAACAAGTAGCCAAACAACAACAACGACAACAGAAGAAATCGCCATAACAATAGCCCCCGATAATACTTGCGGATACATCTCAGAACGACTTGGAGCAAGCAGAGCCTGCCCAATTGACGATTGGTGCTACTTCTTCCCTCCCATGCCAGCCCAATCATTCACAAACGGTGGTGTCTTATGCTGTGGAGAGACATCTTGTCAATATCATGCAACATGTATCAACTCGGAGGAGTACTTTGTGTCGAGTAAATGCGATGGTGGTTGTGAGGTTGACAACTACACTCTAAAATGGCAACTCACTCCCTTCTCTTCTCATGCCATGTAATCAGTCATACTCAACAATGTCATAGCACAGATTCAGCATCTCCGTACTGTAATACTGTATCATGGGAGGGAAGCACATTCGATTATTGGTGCAACGACCTCGATATCTCCACAGCACAAAGCGCCGCTCTCACCTACAAAGGCCAAACATCACGAGAATTCAGCACCATCAATGAGCGAGACTACAGTTCTCTGCTCTCACAAATGGCCGAGGCACAAACTGAAGGAAGTATCAATGCCGAAGCGACAGGAACAGCAACATCCCAATCTACCGCTACTGAGACAAACAAAGATAGTGGCAGCTCAGGAACACCAGTAGGCGCAATCGCTGGAGGAGCAGTTGGCGGTGTAGCAGCACTCGCTCTTATCGGCGTGGCAGTGTTCTTCTTCCTCCGCCGAAAGAAGAAGCAGAACAAAACTTCAAGCTCATCAGAATACCAACAAGCACCTGGAGGTGACAAACCTGGGTGGAACCAGCAACAGCAACCGCAACAGGGTGGTTATTACTATGATCCAAATACGCCGTCTACAGGTTATAGCGGAAGTCCGAATGGCTATCCTGCTGGGTATCAACAACCTGCTATTCATGAAGCCGGGGGTGAGGCTGTGGGGAGTAAACCTCAAGAGCTTCCAGATAGTGGACCTGGGGAAAAGGAGCCTGTAGAGCTTGCTTGAGCGTTTGGATTTGGCGTTGCAGAGCCTTGAGCTTTGTGGCTACCGTATACTGAGATGGTTCAGCCTTTATATCTCAATCTGTAGAAAATACTCTGCATTATCTCGACGTCACAAGAATGCGTTAAGCAACAGATCCATATCAGGGCTGAGTGTAACCGCAGTCTTGATATTTGTTGCGAAACAATAGGAAATGTATAGAGACATCATGGATACTCCATAATAACTGTTTCAATTTTTCATGTGGATTTGGCTTTGGATATTTTTGGTGATGTTAATTCTGATGCCCCATTTCTGTGCCAACTACGTCATGGCCTGACCAAACTTTATCACTTGGGTGCATTTGCATTCGTTAGCATGCGACCTTATGCCTAAACCGAACCAAACCAACCACCCTCAAGCTTAACCCAACTCAATCAATACATGCACATACTATAACTCACGCACAATTTAGCGGGTCCCTCTATATCGAACATCACATACATATCATATCATGGCCTCTAAATGGACCTTCAAGGCTCAACCTGGCATCTTTGTTGAACTCGCCGACATTGCCCATGAATATCCTGGAGAAAAAGTCACGACGCAACCAAACCTGGGCCTCATCCCAGATCAAAAATACCCTTCCGATGATCCAGATACTGCAGATCAAAGGGACTGGGTTCGTCTCGCTGCATATGTGAGATGGCTCAATGAGAATAGCTCCGACAATGTCGCATACAAAGTCTTGTACCTCACACGACATGGCCTTGGGGTACACAATAAGATGCACGCCCAAGTAGGCTCCGAAGCGTGGAATGTATGTACTACCATCTCATCCAATACTCAGTCATTTACTAACCTGAGCAGACAAGAGTCTCCTTCCAAAATGGGGACGGCAAAGAAACCTGGTTTGACGCCTTTCTCACCAAAGTCGGTGAAAAACAAGCTCAAGATCTCAACTCCTTCTGGACCGATCTCATCAAAAATCAAGGCGCACCACAACCTAAGATCTTCTACACAAGTCCTCTAGCGAGATGTCTCCAAACAACAGACATCGTCTTCTCATCCCTCATGGCCTCACAATCACCGCCCCAGCACCCCATCGTCAAAGAACTCCTCAGAGAACGAATCACTCGCCACACATGCGACTACAGGAGGGATCGCACATGGATAGCCGAAAACTATCCCAGCTACAAGATCGAAGATGGCTTTGCGGAGGATGACCAGTTCACCAACAGAGTTGAGCCGGAGACTGATGAGGAGCATGTCGTGAGGAAACAGAGAGCTTTAGAGGACATCTTCAATGAGTCGACGAAAGACGACGACTTCATATCGTTGACGGTTCATTCGTATGCGATTCGAGCGATTCAGGCTGCCGTGGGAAGTGGTGTTTGCCGGACACGTGAAGGGACAAGTATCGCGATACTTGTCAGGGGCGAGAAGGACGGAGAGGCAGACGGTACAGGGTTGGACATGAATGACTATGTGTCAGCAGATCCTGCGGGCGTGAGCTCATTGAGAAGATTCTCCATGTGATGCATGTCAGAAACATACCTATGGACCAGATACAATGTGGCATTGTTGACATAACGATAGATCAAAGACATAATATAACGACGATAACTTGTTATTTTCCTGGACAATCGGCTATGCTTCTTCAATACTCAAGACCATCTCTTACATAGCCTACTGATAGAGTGGGTGCTCTGATGAATGAATCTCAACTTCTATTGCCATATTTCAGAGGTTGAATAACTCAGAACTACCTTATTGGTAGAGACTTGAAAGTACCTACCTACTTGGTAAGATTTTAAGTCTTTAACTGATGGAAAGAGGTATCAGTTATCGCATAACCGCGGCTTGGGGTTTTCTGTTCTTCTTTTGGCAGGCGTGACCTGCATCCCAAGGCTTTCCCTCAAGGACAGCAAGGACAATGGCCTTCACTTGTCTTTGCAATTCATCAACAACATTCTTCTTCTTTCATCTTACATCTTCCATCTTCAGCTTTACAAAGAAATTAGTAAAAATGCCGTTAAATAATTATGGAGTTTGGAAGGGCAAGCTCAAAGCCACAAGTGTAAACCGAGACGACTACCTCTCAGATCACTTCTACGTCAGTTTCGATTTCGATGTCGATAACAATAACCAGCCCCAAGAATACCGCGCTTGCTTCAATTACCGCACAGCCATTTCTGAAAGTCCCCAGCTTGTATATTGGCTTATTCAAGACTTCTCTCTTCCTACTGTTCGATACATTGAAGCCTTTCCACGAGGATGGACCGAGATCATACAGCTCGCGACACTGAATCACCGCCAAGTGAGTCTTGATTATCTTCGAGGAGCCATCGATTATATTCCGAGTGGGGAGGAAAATCGGGGAGTCGACGATATCGCCGATTATCTGACGCCCTTCTTCGCCAACGCTATCGAGAAGGGGGCAACGGCCTACATATACGGGGAACTCCGTCGAGACTTGAAAGAGATACACCAGATACACATGAATCAAGGCAGTGTCGACACATTTGAAAAGGAAAATGCTATTCGGCAGGATGGAGGAATTTTACTCGAATTCTTAGATGGTCACTAGGAGGCTCTATTCATCGCCTTCCACGAACAAGGCTCTCAAACGAACGCAGACGGTCAATCAATCGGCCCAAATCTCGGCAGCCAAGTCGAATATCGCGAGGAAAACCCAGGTACAGGAATAGGTGCAAGTGTCAGAAGAGCCATTCACACCAGATCCCCACCTGTCGGTATCACCGCCCTGCTCTGTCCAGACGACAGTCCCGGGGTCGTTTATCCCCACGGCGAACCAGAGTATCATCTCACCATTCGCAACATAACAGACAAAGTGGTGGATCTCACAGGGTGGACAATATGCTCCAGCAGGTTTCAGCTAGTCCATACGATTAAGGATACAACTCTTTGGCGAGCTGGTGATCGATTCCGCTGGAGATTTTCACATAACTGGTTTTCAGCTCTTGGGGATACCATATATCTGCGAAACCAGGAGAAAAAAACAGTTGATACCGTCAGCTATTTGCCATCGGCGGCGGAAAAGACAGGGAGACTTCTCTACTTTGGGCGGCATCGTTCGAGGACTGTTACCTAAGCGAGGTCAGGACATAAGAGAAGACCATCAATACATGTACTTTATGAAGGAATTGCCTCAGTTCCCCTTGGATTACGGGCATCTGTAGCCACTTTAGCGATACAGAATACGAATAAGCGAGTTTTCAAAGTGAGGAGCGATAATATAATGTCAGTTGCTGTCGTGTGTGTGCTCAGGATAATGCCCTCAATCTTCCCTTGACTCTCGAGGTTGCCGCTGCAACTACTGATCCGTTGACAGACCTTATGTAAGCCTAATTTGGTTTATGCAACCAATTTCTATGGCTTCGGAAAACTCGGTGAGGTTCAACTCATACTCAGGTATCATGATTGCCAGAGTCACGACATAGTCAGCATTGAGCAAGTGGGCAAGCCACCGGCAATTCTACAAGGTTTAGATGTTTCATTCTTCACAGAGATTATCAGCACAAGAGTTCAGCTGGCCAGAAAGCCAGAAGTCAAAGAATTAAGAATTAAAAGTGCCACGGGAGTGGCATTAGCTGCTATGATGAAGTCCTGTCTCCCTTGCGCTGTCTCATGAACCCAGAACGCCAGTCTTCGACTCGCTATATATGCGTAACAACATATTATCGCCGAGTGGCCATTACAAGAAGATGTGCTGTAAAGTCACATTCTACCACCACTTGAAGGTGCTGGTCCATGTCTTCCAAGGACCACGCCTGGAGGGAATCTTGTTCTCAGGGACAGAGATCTCGTAGCCATCGTCGACATCCTTGGAGACACTCTTGGATGTCCATGAGTTATCATCAGTCTGGAGCCACTTGTTGAATCGGCCCTTATCCTTGTGGCGGTAGGACTCAACGGGTTGAGGGAGGACCTTTGTGCACTCCGTGAGGTCGTTGATATTGTTGACGCCCAAGAGACTGAGACGGATGTAGGCGCGGGCGTAGTCCTGGAAAACGTTAGTAGATATTTCATGATATGCTTTGGCATGGTACTTACCACGTTCCAGGCGGCCTGGCCAGTGCTGCCGCTGGCAAAGGCCTCAAAGGCAGGCTGAGTAAGAGGGTGGTTGGCGAGGGCTACGTCGCTAGGGAACTTGTAGACACGCTTTGGAGCATTCTGATCGATGGTTTGCTGATAGAATAGGATATCCCAGACACCAGGAGTGCTGTCCTGAGGATCACCATCACGATCAATGTTGGTGTGGTGCTGCTGAGAGGTTGTGTGCGCGCCGATAAGAGCAACAAGATCGTCGGGGCCAATTGTCTTGTCCTTGAAGAGGTTGATCAGAGTGAGAGCATTGGAGTCAACGCGAGGCAGAAGACCGCCGAGGTTGGCCTTCGTGCTATCCTTGCGTCCGACAAAAGAGCGAACGCGAGGACCGAGAGGGCAGGTAACAGCAGCAATGTTGGAGCCCATTTGGATCAGATCAGCCATGGTGACCTGGGAGAAACCATACTGGGTATGGTACTTGTCGTAGATGGTTTGGTAGTACTCGCCAATCTGCTGAAGACCCATATTCTCACCACGGGTGAGCTCGTTAGAGAGGATGATGGAGCCATCGGCACCACCGCCTTGGGAAGCGGTCTTGAGAGACCAGGTGCCAGCGTCATGGAAACCAATGCGCACAGCATATCGAGCCCATCGTGTGCAGCGGCCAGCCTCACCTCTGAACTTGTCCTCGAGTTCGTTGGAGATGTACTGCCAGACACAGCAGGTATCACGCTTGCAACGTTGGGAGTTCATGGAAGGGCAGCCAAAGTAGCGCTCGCGGCTGGTAGGGTTGCCATTGCCCTGGAGGATCTTCTTGATGTCACTACCGACTGAAGTGAGTGACTTGTCGCTGATGGTGACAAGATCGCCGATGAGGGAGTGAGCATCAAAGCTGTCTCCAGACCAGCCATTGCCATTGCTACTACCACTGCCACTACCTCCGCTGCTCTGGCCGGGCCAAGAACTAGAACCCCCTCCATTTCCATTGCTCTGTCCAGGCCAGGAGCTTGAACCACCTCCATTGCTTTGGCCAGGCCAAGAGCTTGAACCGCCGCCATTGCCTTGTCCTGGCCATTTGTTTCCACCCCACCCACTGCCCCAGCTACGAGCAGCAATTCGTTCGATCTCCTTGATGGTCTCTCCCATGCCAGGGTGAGCAACAGCCTCTGGGATAGGCGCAGCAGCCAGAGCAGCTGCAATAAGGACGGTAAACTTCATAGTTGCGATGAGAGATAGTTCGATGGTAGTTGAAAATATGAATGAATGAATCAAGTTTGTATAAGAGAGTGAATAGTGCTTCTAAAGAGTGTATGGGAAGCAGATTAAGAACGAGTGTATACTGAAAAGAATGACGGCAGAAAAGAACGTAGAGTGATGTTGGCTCACCTCTTGCGGAACTCAGCAGACAGTAGAGGAGCATCATGTATATATATATGCCAGAGGCCTCTACAGTCTCCAATGCCTCGATCAAGTCGCTTTGGCCAGACGCCGAGAACTCTCGGCACGACAGTTCCAAGCCCCTGGTCTCCCCATAGAGCCTTCTTTCTAGCTCTGTGACTATGGAGGGCTCGATCAAGAAACGAACGCAACAAAAGACGCTTAAACAAACCCTGCAGTTCATCAACGGGACGGCATGTGTCTAGAACTCGTCAATATGGGGTCCCCTGTAGATATGACCGTCAGTGCGTAGTAATTGCTCACACACCACTCGACGTTGCAATCTCTTCCTGGTGAGTAGGCGACTTGTTTCTTTTCTCTGTTTCTAATTAGAGAAAGGATCTTTCCAGCTTCAGTAGTGTCGATGCCGCTGTCGTATGTGGACCCTCGGTTGCGTGGAGAGTGTTGAGGCGTTGACGCATGACGCCTCGTCCCATTAAACAACGGTCTAAAGAACCACTTGGTTTTTTGCGAGACTATCGGAAACCGGATGAGCCAAATCTCTTGGTAGCGGGTTTAGGACGGATAAGCCCGAGATTGTATGTCACTTGATGGGCTTGGTAGTGTAATGCCACGTTCATCTGTCAATTGCAGAGAACGCTGACCCCTGTAACGAGAGCTTCACATCAAAGTCTCAAGCTATTGTTCTCTCACCGTTGGATCCAAGGTTTGGCTCGTGAAGGTACGATTCGTAGGTTGCAGTAGTTCCAGGGGTACATGCAGCGTGTAAGATGATACGCCCGTGTGTATCCACATGTCGATCACCAACAAACATGCTCTGCCTCCTTTTGTGGTTGGTTACCCGAACACATCACAACCGCGAGATCAGGCTGGAGAAGCTTTCAGCTGAGAATCACATTGTTCCCATTGGACATGGAAGGTTAGCCGAGAGGAGTATTGCCTGCTAGACAAAGGCAAGCGCCTGGCGCCAAGTCTCGAATTGCGGTGGATCGAACGAGTCGAACATGATGGAAATTATCCTTGTTCAGGTGGATACGAACAAATCTGATGAAGCGGCACGAGCGGCCGAGAATCTGCCTGGATCGAACGGGAGGACTTCTCTATTTCTTGGCAGTTTCGAAATATTCGAAAGAGCAGTAGTAAGTCTCAATTATGCGAAGCAATATGGATGACTGCCGAGAGTTGTTGAGGTAGGAGAGAAGATGAACTGTCTTGAAATTGTTAGGTCAGCCACCATCACATGACTCAACAAAACATGGCTTGTATTGTATTATGCTTAACTAACAAGACTATTTACTCTATTAACAATAAGACAGAGGTTATTTTGAATCTAAACGATACCATGATTAAAAAATAACGCTTCACAAAATTCAGGCTTCACTCACCACGCAAACTAACAAGACGCAGTAAAAAGGAGATGTCCAATCAACATGCTGTGAAAAGTAATAGACTAGCGAAGTAATTCGGAAATTTACCCCTGGCGCTAAAACGCAGTTGTGGCATCCAAACCAAACGAGCTCTTCCTTTGTTGGAATAGTTCATTCACCGTAGATAAACGGTGAATCACGCTGTACATAGCATGGAGAGCTGAAGAATTCAAACTTGCAGCGGAATCTGAAACAAATAGATCCATGTTGCTTCTCCAGATGCAACTCTTGTAGCAAACCGATCATACATCACTTGCCTTATCCGGACCTTTTGTCCACCACCTGCTAAATATAGATCCCATATCTGATGCTGGATGGAGGCTACATCATTACCGACGTTGCATATGGTCGGGGATGCTTAACATATTGATCAAGGTCAATTTCGACGGCCAGGAAGAAATATACATCTCTCGGTCAAGCTGACTACCTATAATGAATTAGGCTACAGCGTATAAAGACAAAAACGCCGGACTACATTGATATCTATTCAGACCACGCTTCACGTCTGCGCACTGTAACCTATATCTCAGCGCCAACTAGTGAACGCAAAAATACGATCTTGGTCTTGATATATTCTCAGTTGTTAGCCTCATTTGAAAGATGCCATCGACAGGTATAGGAGAACTCTGCTGTGACTTGCCGCACTGTAGCCTAATATCTTTATCGGAGGTCTACGGGTTTACAGAGATGACAGATATTAAGACTTCACATGAGTAAGGACAATCTCTCAAAATCAAGACAAACAGCATTGTTGAGAATATAGTCGAGCAGCTCGACCTACTCAGGATATACATTAAACGCCAATGATCCTGGACGCCTGCCATCCCTACCTAATCCAGTTTTCCAGCGCCCTCGACCCCCTTATGCACATCCTACATTATCCTAGGGCCAGCAAGTACTCACTTCGAAGGCCCTCACTCTGTAGGTGGGGAGCCTGTGTACAATATCCCGCTCAAGCTAGAGGAAGAAAAAAGAAGAATACAAAAAATCCTGGCGTCGGGCCCGGCGAGATGTAACTTAGACAGTCGAAAGTGACTATGAAGAAAAGTGGGAGAAAAAAAAAAAGAGCTCGTTGGCAAAGATGTCCAAAGGAGGTGGAACTGTGACAAAACGCCTGTCTGGCGTTATCGTAGAGGCATTCAGTCGTGCATCGACGTTGCAACTAGACAGGCCGTGGTTCTGCGACGTTCTGTTGTTCGCTTGCTCACTCAAGATCGTCGCGAGATGCCTGCATCATCATGAAAAGCTTGCATGAATCCATCATCGTTCAGAATGGTACGGTCGTTTGACATCATTCATGGGTAAACGTTGAGTGAAGGTTGATCTGGGGAGTGCTCAGTAGGCATCCTCGTCTGTCCATTCACTGCCTGAAATGATGCGGTTGCCATCTTGATCAATCATCACTGGCCCATTATATGATGCTGTAGGGGGTATTCCGCGTATGCGCTTAGATTGGCTGCTTGTGGGTCGGCCTGGCTCAGGTGAGAACCGCTTATTGCGAGTCGCCCTTAACTTGGCGTAGTAAGCATCGGAAACATCAAGCTCAGGCTCGCTGTTATCGTCGTATGTCTCCCAGTTTTCAGATCCAGAGATGTTGGTTGATGCCATTGAGTTGCCAGAGATCTGTCTTGGTGGAGCCATCGGACGATAGCCTTGTGAGCGGATGGTGGAATATGGGTCATGGAAGCTCTCTTCGCTATAGTATTGAGAGTTGTTGCTTGGGTGACTGAACTGGGAATTGTTGCTCGGATGGCTGCTATACTGAGAATTGTTGGAGTTGGATCGCGCTGTTCGAGGACGATCATCATACACATCCTCAGGCTCAACATGGCGAACAATGCTAGAGGCGAGGCCCACGGATTTGTAGGGATTCATAGGAGCTTCAAGATCACCCCTAGCCATCAAGTCACGCATCTTGGGAGGAGGTGCTCGCATCAAAGGAGGGCCAGGTCGGAAGGTATCAGCTCGCGATTCAGCACGTGGCCGTTCGGGAGAGTTGTTTCCGTGCTTCATGTTTGATAGCGGAACTCGAGCAGGGATTCGCGATGGACTCCTTGCGGGGCTTCCAGGTATACTAGAAATGGAACCCGTAGCTTGGTGTCCAGGTCGCTTGGGAGGCATGCCAGATGTAGGGGTTTTGGTCATTGATCGAGGAGGAGCAGACTTGGTGGCAGCTCGGTTTGGCACAGACTTGGGTGGTTTGATGGTTGAGGGAGGTGGACCGGCGGGTGTCTTAGAACGGGGCGGTAGTGCGCCCTTCTTTGGTCCATCAGAAGCCTCAATTTCATCCAAGTAACTCTCACCATACACGAGGAAAGGTCGCCCATATTCGTCTTCCCATTTAGAAAGTATCTTGCGTAGATCGGCAGTGATCTTAGGGAGTTCTTTGGCGATACGCTTTCGCATCTTCTCCTCGCGGAGCAGTTTGCCAGGATCTCGCTTCTCACCTTTCTGACCGCGTGCCATGAGTCGCGATGCATCCTGACTGGAGGCAGCGAGATCATCGCGCTCCTGAATCAAACTCTTGTGTCTATCAATGAGTGCCAGCGTAGGCGCCCGCTGTTCCTTGAGGGCTTCCAATCGGGCAATTTCTCGCTCATGAGCCTCCAGAAGAGCGTCACTATAGACGTCGGAAAAGGCAGGTGTGAACTCAAGCATCTCATCCTCGCAAAAGTATAACGCATCCCAGAGTTCTTGAAGCTTGATGCGGGAATCTTCGACGAAAAGGTGGAGGTTTTGACGCTTGAGCTCGTTCAATCGCGCGAGCTCGTCCTCAAATTCATTGATCTGTCGCACACCGCAGCCACGGTTCGCATTAAGGAATGGCTTGGTCTCGCTCTCGTCAACACCGAGCTTGATCCATAGAGCTTCGACGGAAGATCTTAGCTCCTTGAGTTTCTTCTCACGGTTCTTCTTCTCATCTGAGAGTCTGTCGCGCTTGGAGCGGAGTCGGTTGATGTCCTCCTCATGGAGGCCAAGTTGCTCAGGAGCATCGCGATAGTACTTGACGATAGCGCCATCTTGTTGCGCTTGGGGAATGCCAAGCTCAGCCCAGAGGCCAATCGTCTGGTCGGCAAGGGCTTGAACAGTAGCGATGCGACGAGAATACTCCTCATAAACTCGGGTGAACTCGTTGTCGAGCTTGTCAACGTAGGTGGAAGAAAGGTCAAAGTTGGGAGGGATGGACTGGTTAGGCCCTGTGGGCGGTAAGGGGATTTGGACGAATGTGGGCTCGAGGTGAGATGAATAGGATTCGAGGGCCATGACGAGTTCTGGGTGATGTTAGTGAATGAAAGACAAAGGATGTAGCTGCGAACGCACTCTTGACTTGCTCGAAGCGCTCCTTATGGAGGCGACTGATTTGTATATGCTTCTCCTTCAGTTGTTGGAGGCATTGTGTGAGAGGGTATGTGATGGTCAAGTCATCGTCGTCTTCATAGTCGCGGCGACGTTTTGAGTCGTCCAGAGATGCTTCCATTTGGTGAATCATAGTAATGATCTTCTTTGCCTCGTCGACCATCTCCTTCTTTTCTGAATTGACTAGTCGCACTTGGCTATTGAGTGCTTCAGACAATGCTGAGAACAGCTGCTTAAGTTAGTGAGCTGTGATATGCTTTGCGACCAAGTAAACACACCTCAGATTCTCGAGCTTCGCGCTCATGATCAGGGACACCGATCTCATCGAAGAGACCGTGCAGCTGGGCAATACTATTATTAACCTGCTGCGCAAGATAACTTGTGTCCACCATTTTGCTTGATATCGTGACTTTCGTCGTTCAGGGGATAACGTGATCGGAAACGATGCTATATGCAAGCAATGGGGTGAACAAAGGCACTTGCGAATAAACGTATGTAAAATGTATTTAAAAAGCGTGCAGCGTGATTCGTGGTCTCGGTATTATTGGGTTGTGTGCAATCGTGTGTTCACTTGGTGTTTACTTTCTCTCACATGCGGTCATCGAGCAGTGAAGTCGTCGAGGCGGGAATAGCATCCTATGCGCAAAGCGAAGTTGGAGGTTTGCGAAAATTGTGTGCAAATGCCATGCACCGCAAAAGCGGATTCGTGATGAAAGATTTGCGAGTTGGAGAAATAAAAAGAGAGACTTGAAAGCGGCTGAGACAAGAGAAAGTCCAAGGTCAGATAGACGGAGGATCTAACGACATAACATGAAAGTATTCACGGCGGCATCTGGCGCAACATGGTAAACGATGGGAAGCGGCGAGTTGCTACAGCAACCTCCCTTCCGGTACAGGGAATGTGTAATTGGCGGGCTATTTCGGGGCGCCCCAGTGTTTCAAGCAAGCTTACCCCGCTGAAGCTAGCTTTTGGCAGGGATGTTCCAGGGCTGTGAGGCCACTGAAAGCTTGGTAGAAGCGCGGGCTGATCACCTGTTGTTACTGAGGTCCAAATGTCACGGCTCGCGATTGGCCTGAAGTGGGAATACCATCTAGCACCCATGGCCCCTCTGATTTCCAGGGACAGCTTTTGGCCCGTCCACGATGCGAGAACCAGGAAAAAGATGGGATTTAATTGAGGACGTTTCCACAGCTCCGCCTTAAGATCGAATGATCAAGGCGTTACGTACAAACAGATGCTCGCTTAAACATCTCAACCAGCGGTCTAGCGGCACTTTATCTAAGCCTTGGGGAGCAAGAAAGCTTCCGTCTTTGTATATGGTGCCAATAAAACTGTACCAAGGGCCTTCTAAGCTTATGCTAAACTTACCTAAGTCTTTTTGTCGCTCAGGATCGAGGCAAGTTCCTTGTTTTTACCCCATGGGTCCAACATCACACAAACATAAGGCCTTAGCAAGACAAGCATGAACCCGCAGTGGTCCGTATATCAACCTTACGCAAGTGTGTTCGGCGTCTTACTCCAACTCCTTGCATACAGTAGTTCAGTTGAGTTGACATGCATGTGCAGAAGCGATATCTAGTTCACAGGATAAGCGAATCAAGACTCCGCAAGCAGCAGAAAAACAAGACAAGACAGCCATGGATGTTTGTATCACAAGAAAAGTAAGAAGCTGAGCCGCAAGCAGAGTTTTTTGCCATGGTCGTAACGGGGTAAGAAAAACAAAAAGTCAATGTTCACATACAGTAGCTACCCGGGTTACCATCCATTTCGCCATGGATTGCTCTTCTAAAATCATGGTTTTCGCAAACAATCGTTTCAAAACTCAGCCTACGATTGGCGAAAAGCACCTGCAGCTGCAGCTATAGTCGATGTTTGTAACAGGCTTATGTACCTCGAATCCTTTTTATTTCTCACCACTACCACTCACTCCGCATGTAAACAAAGAAGCATAACAGCGGGTTCCCTGGCATTGCCATAGCTACCCCTCAAGTCCCATCCCATCATCTGTAGCACATCGCCGAGGCCCCATGAACCCTAACGTAATCGATCTCCGAGGTTTAATTGATTAGGTTGTTTATCATTTATCGTGAGGCCCAAGCTCCCATGACATCTGCCATTCATTACTTCTTCCCAGCTCTTGACGTATTGCCTGGTGCGTGCTCTAAGCCAGCGCTCAAGGCTCTCTCTTGTAATCAAACCGTCCGTATCATTGAGTCGCCTATTTCTCCCTTCATAAAAACTCTTCCCATCACCTAGCTGTTCGCTAAGTTAGTTTTGCGCACGATCTTGTGAAACAGGCTAGTCTATCAGTTGCTAAAGTGCATCTGCGTCATTCTTACGAGTCCACATCTCCAGCGGAGTGCGTCCAGATCGTGGTCGATCGATTTAATCCTTGCATTTTACTGTCGCTTGCTCCGAATTTGTACCGTAAACGGGAAATTCAGCTCGCCCAGGGAAAGACGCGATGCCTTCACTGAATCCTGTCCACATTTGTTTGTCGATCCTTTGCAACACCTGAAAACAACCTTGACATCCACTGGGTATCGAAAATCTATTAAAGAATCCATCCTGAGCCCAATGCTCCAATGCTCCAAAGTCGAGTCTCCCATATTGACAATGAATAACACAAACACCAGCAAGAAAACCCTCCATATACGTTGGTTAAAAGGTAAACAGACGTGTTCCAGAAGTTCCAATCGACTGTTGGAGACCCCACAGTCATCAATGCAGTAAATAGCATCCAGTTGTGGCCATTGATGGTCCAAAAAGTGGTTTTCGGAGTCATCAGCTCTTTTCAAGACGCCCTGCGCATTTGAAATTCTTGGAGTGGATGTTGAGACCAAAGATAATACGTCATGATTCGTTGCCATATCGTCGAGCTCATTTAGCTGTCGCTGCATTGCGTGATACCCATTACACTTTGTGTCATTGTAATCATTGGGCGATGTTCCGAAACCGATGGACCGAATTCCCTCGTGTTGCCAGCTTTCTTCCATCGTGCATCGATAAAATCGATGTCCGGATCATTGAAATGACTGCCGGGATTTGGTTCTCTTAGTGCTATCACGGCATGTTTGGTTTGAATGCTCTGTGATCACATCGCACTCCAGGATGGCATGCCGTTGTCTTCTATGCCAGCCTTCAGGCCATTGTCGTTCATCTCCATAATCCCATACATATCCCACGATAAGTAGTTTTGCAAGTCGCTCAGATCGACTGCTTTGTGGTCCATGTGTGAAGTCGTAGCTCCTGGGGGTGTCCGTTGAGATACTGGCTGCTCGTGCTGTAGTTTGGATCGTGCGGGCGTTGCTTCGGGCTGACTGCTCACCCCAGAGACAGATCCAGCTCCTCTTTTGCTTGCAGTTGGGCTGCCGTTTTCCATCTTGTTCCAAGCATCGCGGTCTATCGGCTTCATATCGCTACTTTGGCCTTGCGCGAGACGTGCCAGGCCAAGGGCCCCCATGGCCTCGTCAGGACTGCTGGTGATGGGGCTCCCAGATAAAATTGGTGACCTAAGATTAAGCTGTTAACCACTGAATCGAGTCGATAAGTTTGCTTTACGCACCTTTCCTCGTCACCATGTAGAGGACGGTCGCTCATATGCTCATCCTGGGCAAAAGTCTTGCGAATCTTAGCTAGCCACCTCTCAGTAGTCGTTGCCTAGTACCATAGTTAGCAAAACCCACGACAAATACTACACTTAAAATTTCACATACTAGGGAATCGGCAAGGGGGAATAGAGCCGCCATTGTCCGTAGGATTTTGCTGTTACTTTCCACCGCGTTGATGGCGTCCACAACAATCGTCTCTGCATCAGGTCTACTCAAATCAAGCAGCCTTGCAATGTAGTACAACATCACACGGCTACTATCATAAGCAAAGCAGGGGAGGAGACTATCAGCAAGATATCGTGCACCATGTTGTACAGCCTCAGCCAAAATAGTAGAAATTTGTTTGGCGTGATAAAAGCAGTCGGCTTGCAAAGATTGCAGGAACTCTTGCTGATTAGGTGGGAAGTAGAAAGGCTTGATCAACTTGAAAAGATCAGGCATAGATATTCTGTAAAGATCGAGGAGATTGTGGTGATATGTGCAATGGAGCAAGACAAGTGATCCGAGCTGATCGGATTCGAGGCGTGCATAAATGGTATCGGTGGAGTATGAGATGAACTCGGGGAGATGTCGTCCCCATGATCGCAAATCTGCATCAAGAGCTGCAAAGTCGGACTCGGGAAGCCACGGAGGCGGGCTCGTATTCAGATGCTTTACGTATCTGTATTCAGTTAGATGCCGGTGTCCGTTCAAAGGGAATTCCGGGTTTCAAACGAACCTGACTACACGTTTCCATAGGGTAACAATTCGGATGTAGTAAGCCATGATACCCATGTTGGCAGCCGGTCTTCGTGGAACAATCGCAGGAGGAAGGAATTGCAGAACGTGTCCTACACCGAGTGTCTCTGTTACACAAGGGATCCGAAGTCTGAAGTTACGTTCGTTACATGGCAACTGGATTTTAATATCGGCTTCACGCAGTAGTGTTAATTGATCAACACCACTACCCGTCCAAGCATCTAGGATGTAGCAGGCCCACATGAGTCTACGACGACTCTCCTTCTCAACGGCTGGTGGGGAGGATTCGCTGACCTCTGCGCAGAGGATGTCGGGCGAGAACTCGACGTTGAGCTGTAGTGCGTGGGCCATTCGAACTGCAAGGCCACTCAGCATCAGAGCTTGGGTGTATTCGCCTAGTCTAAAATGAAAGTCGTAAAGTAATATGCATGTCTGAACAGATATGTTAGTCATTTGTGAGCCCGAGCATTGCGTTGAGAATTACCATGAGTCTTTGGACTGAAATCTTGCCAAAGTTGGTGAGTACTAGCATTTCAGCCTTTTGTGCCCAACTGTTACCCGCAGCTCGGATCAAGCTCGCTTTCGCATCTTGATCCTCCAAATTGAGGGATAAAGCATAGAATCTGGATAGTTAGTGCCAGGTTCACAGAGTTCAGATTGAGGGACATACTTGGCTCCTTGCGCGCAAATAATGTGTAGTAGTGCTTTTTCGTCATCGGACTCAAAGCCCTTATCTAACAGACGAGCAAACGATGGTCTATGTACAAAAGCAAAGCACCGGAGAGGATGAATGTTGGCAAAATAGTGGTCAACTACGGTACGGATGTTGTTTCCAGATGGGAGGTCTGGTGATACAAGCCTGGGGAGTAGGTGAGTAAAATTGACCCGGATATTCGGGAATGAAGCATCAGCTTACCATGAATGAATAGACAACTCGGTATCATCGGAAAAGTCTATGGGTGGATTAATGCTGCTGGTATCTCTGGTGCTTGACCGATGAGACGTTGCGACATCATTCTCCCGTGACTGGATGAGACTGTGT